AAGGGAATGTGTTCCCAGCTCCCTGCTGTAGCAATCACTGCCCATGCTCCATATGCAGCCTGTCACCACACACATCTGGATAACCCTTGACTTGTGTCCCCCGCAAGGGTAGGGTCACCCTTGGCCAACCATGACTTGAGTCCTCTGCAAGGGTCATGTTCCTTCCTATGCCACCCTAATGCTGTTCAGGGGCCATGGTGTCCAGCAACCTTGGTCTCAGTGGCAGCCAATGGCATTTCTGTTCCTGGTTCCTCTTGGGGCTTTTGGAAGGGATTCGTTGGGCTGGTGTTGAAAGGCTCTGAAGTGTCTGAGGCTGCCGGCTGGCCCCTTGGCATACTTGCAAACAGCGTTTACTTGCAAACAGCGTTTACCTGAACAGATCTTATGTGTAATGGTTAAAATTCACACTCAGATGAGTATCCACTTTGGAAGTCAACAGACGGTATAAGTGTGGAGTGCTGAAATGGGTCGAAGGCTTTAAGATCTATTTCCTTTGACCTTTGTTGATGATTTATGGAATGAATCTATAGGGATATATTAGGGTTTTTCTTTCATTTCATAACTAAACTGTATACATGATAATGAGCCCCGGAAGATTCCTGTAAGATGCCTTTCAGGTAAACCTCCCACTTCAGAGCCCCAGAGCTTGTGCTCAATATTCAACATTGTTCTTCTCTAGTTTGAAGCCAACACTGTTCTCTTAAACCCCCAGTTTTCTGAAGTGAATTTGGGCACCACCCTTCCATCCCCACCCAGATTTGCTGTGGTCAAAGCTGTGGGCAGACATGCCATTCCTCCCAAAGCACACTTCATAAACAGCAATACCTGAACTGTTACTACTTAAGAAAGAGTAGCTCTTAAGCAAACTCTTCTTAGTTACTACTTAAGAAAGTGTTAGAGTTCTACGTCATGGTTGCCCCTTATTTCTAACTGATGAATATGATGAACTCAGCCTCATCCTTTGCCTACCAAATCAAGTAAAAATACATCATTTTAAGAAGCCACTGTCAACCCTGCCTGCAGTTCTCTGCTATTTGCCTTCAGTCGTCATTACCACATCTAGTGCCCGAAGCGTCCTTTCCGTCCTCTTCAGGTTCAGCAATCCCTGTGGCCATCAGAAATGCACAAGGAAGGAGCTTGGACATCCTGGTTCTCCTTCTCATTCCACTCTGGTGCTCTGAGTCTTGGTACCTGGGTAGCTCAGACTCTGGAAGACACATTTTGCAGGAACGTGCCCTGGAAGAAGGCACTCCCATCCCAACTGATGCTCTTAGGAAAGGAACCAAGCACCTCCTTTCTGGATAAAAGAGAAATGCTGACCCTTGTTAAATGTTAATGTGTGGTGGTTTTGCTCTGCACAGGGAAACTGCCTCTTGGAAAGCCATCGGCAATTTTCCACTTAAGCAGGAGATTTGGGGTGTGTTTGGGGGAATTGTGAAAGCCTCATCCTAGTTGGTTTGCACCAAAAAGCTGGTCTGACACTGAGCGTTAGGGCAAAAGATCCAGATCCAGACAAACTGCAAAATCATTAAGAACAGGTAGAAAGGTGGGAGGAGGGAAGAACATGACTACATCCCTGTAAAACAGAGTTTTCCTGATGCCATAAAGATATAAGAGTCCACTTACTCACTGAGACCTATTCCAATGCTCTTGCTCTTTTATTCTCTTCTGCATTGCAAAGCGTATTTCTGGGTGGAGTCAACAATTTGGCAAAAATCTGTTAACCGCACCAAGCTGATGAAGACAGTAAATTTGTTTCCTCTTCACGCCCTTGTAGACCCAGCCCACCTCCAGGAACAGATAAAAGGGAATGCCTGGAGCTGTGGAGCCAGAGAAGACTGTGCACACTTCTCTCTGCACTCATCCCACAGCAGCACAGCTCCCTTGGTCCTTCTGCTCTCCTCAACTCCACTTGGAAAACCAATCATGTCTCGGCAGTCAACCTGCAGAAGCTTTGGAGGCGGAAGCAAAAGGGGATTCAGCTCTTGCTCTGCCATCGGTGGTGGCTTTGGAGGATGTGGGGGCAGAAACAGGATCAGCTATAGCTCATTCTCCACATCCAGGGGATTTGGAGGCAATGGACGTTGTGCGGGTTTTAGCAGCAGGAGCCTCCATAACATGGGTGGCAACGGAAGGATTTCCATGGGTGGCTCTTTTGGCGGTGGATATGGATGTAGAATTGGTGGCTTTGGTGGAGGCTTTGGAGGAGGATTTGGCGGCATTGGAGGAGGTATCATTGGTGGAGGAATAGGTGGCTTTGGTGGTCCTGTGAGAGGTGGTCCTGGGTTCCCTGGAGGCATCCAGCCAGTGCAGGTTGACCCAACCCTTCTGCGGCCGGTCCATGTTGATATTGACCCTCAGATCCAACAAGTGAAGTGCCAGGAGAAGGAGCAGATCAAGACTCTTAACAATCAGTTTGCCTCTTTCATTGACAAGGTGAGAGGCTGGAACTGTGTTTCCTTGGGAATGGGGACTCTGAGGAACTTTCCTGTGCCGTGGAGAGGGGAATACTGTCCTTCACAGCTCAGTGTGGGCAGCTCTGGAGGGCTGGTGGTGTTTGCACTGAGTCCTCCTAAGGCAATGTAATAACTTCACATCCACAGAGAAACCAAAGGACTTTCTCTGGGTTTGGCTGATCCAACTTCTTCCTTAGCTTCTCTCTCGTGTTCTCTGAGGCCAAAGTGATCATGATACAGTCAGTTATCCTTTAAGCCTGTCCTTTTCAAGGATTTATTCTTCTTGAGGAATTTGGAATGTCAGAATGAGCTTTCAATTCATTCCTGGCTGTTCTTTACTTCAGTTCAAGTACAGTTGAATACTCTTTAGAGTTCCTGCTCTGGGAGAGTGTTGGTTGTGAATGTGTTTCAGAGTTCTTTAAATGTATGACATAAGTATTGAATTCCTCTTGTATCTGCTAAGAGGAATGTTTTCCAGTATTGATATCCCAATGTGGGATTTCTTTCACTGGAAGGTAAAACTGATGTTTATGGAAATTAATTCCGGATCAAAATTTGCAACTGGAAATGACAATAATCTGTAAATCTGGAATGTGATATTCCAATAAAGAATCAAAGTAGAACAGAAATGAAGGAGAAAAGGGAAAAAATTCAAGGACAGTTGAAAAAAAGGAGAAAGAAAGGAGGAATATTTCTGTTGGAAAATGGTTTTTAACCAGCCATAGTCCTAGTGGGGACTGGGGAAGTGATTCCCTTGGTCTCCCACATCAGCAGGAGGTTTGAGTTGTGTGATGTTCCCTGGGTGAATCTCACACATCCATTGGTGGGCTTTCAGGTCCGCTTCCTAGAGCAACAGAACAAAGTCCTGGCCACCAAGTGGGAGCTGCTCCAGCAGCAAGGGCCTATGGGACCAAGGAAGAACCTCGATGTTATCTTTGAAAGCTACATCCAGAACCTGAGGAGGAGGCTGGAGTCTCTCCTGGGACAGAGGGGACAGCTTGAATCGGAGCTGCAGAACATGCGGCAATATGTGGAGGAGTACAAGACCAAGTAAGTGCCCTGGCAGACTCAGGAAGGCAGCCTGGAGAACAGAGCCTGGGCATTCCCATAGGAATTGCTGAGGAGCTCTGGAGAAGTGGGGCTGAGGGAAAGGGGGTTCTGTGGTTGACTGAAGAGTCCAAGAGACTTATAGACCGGTTTGGTTTGGAAGGGCCCTTAAAGCTCATCTAGTTTCAAGCCCCCTGTCATGGACAGGGACACCTTCCACTAGACCAGGTTGCTCATCTGGTCTTGTTCCCTTCCGCAGGTATGAAGAAGAAATCAACAGGCGTACTGCTGCTGAGAATGAGTTTGTGGTGCTCAAGAAGGTGAGTTACAGGGGCACAGGGCTGTGAGGGGACAAGCTGCAAAGGCGTTGGAAGGGGAGAGGAACAAGTTGGTGTTGGGGTGGGAGGAAGCTGATGTCTATCTGTGTGATCTTTCCATTAGGATGTGGACTGTGCCTACATGACTAAAGTAGAGTTGGAAGC